TCCAGCGAACGCTTGAGACATCGTCCGTGCCTCATGCTAATACCTTCGACTACTTTCGTAATCCTGACCGGATCCCGCTGCAAATCCTCCTACCCTTCTCATTCTGCTTCACTTCCCGAAACCGAAAAGAAAACAGGAAACAGCGGCTCTGTTGTAAATAACTTTTTGACCGACCACGACCACGACCCCGACCCCGACCAAGTCACTCCAGGTCGCTGTCGGCGTCTTCTACATTCGATACGTTTTTCTTTGTTTATTTAACGTTTCCGGAACATCCTGGTGATACCATGTACCATCCTGACGATTTGATAAACTTATCCGAATATTTCCTTGGTTTCAGTTTTTCCTTCATTTCGTTTGTTCTCCCTCTTTTGGAAAGCGACGGCGTCCTGCGGAATGGATTCTTCCTAACCTTTTTTTTCCCCCTACTACATACATACGTTATCCACACCCGGTCGGAGAAAACGAGGTACGCAGCCAATCAAAAAAAAGGGCCGAAAACATTTGTGTCTTGTTTTTCATTTTAAACGCGGGATCCGTATCACGATGACATACATATATAGAACGAGCGGCGAAAACCGATATATTTGGCACCTAGTTGTTTTGTCCTTGCTGTCACATATATATATTTATATGTATTTATTTATATTCCTGTCCGTCTTTGGAGAGAAAAGGTAGATGGATGGATTTGGAAGGATGGGATTTTGCATGATTACACGCGTGTGGAAACAAGATGTCCTGGAGTTTTGATTCTTTCTGATTACTTGATTTTCTCTCACCTTGTCTTATCTCTCTTGACTGACTGATCATCTCTCATTGAGCTTGCTTCTCTTTTTTTCTTTTCTTCTTCTTACGTTTGTGTATTCTTTTTTCACTTTATTTTGCACCATATATATACACACGTCTTTTCACTACATTTTGGTTTTTCCTGGAACTTGGGAACTTTGGAACTTTGGAACCTTTGGGATCTCTGGAAACTGGGGTTGGTTTTGTTATGTATGGGTCGGCGTGTTCGCGTGTATGTGTCGTGTGTGTCTGTGTGTATATGTTTTTGTGCTGTTGTGAGCCTCTGGGGGTTTATGGGTTTCCTGTTGCCACTGGAACTGGGCTGGGCTGGGCTGGGATGGGCGGTGTATGTGTGGGTTGCATGTGTGTGTTTTGTCCTGTGCCTGTCCTAATCCTATCTTATCTTGATTGCTCGCATCTGTTGTTGCAATGATAAAAACTACTTGTTTGTTCATTTAATCTGCCTTTTAATATCCAAGCCTTTTTTTTTTTTTTTTTTTTTTTTGCCCCTCCCCTTTTTTCCATTCATTTGGTAACACCCCCGCCACTCATTTCATCTCCCCCGATGCTATTTCACCGTACGGAGGGCGCTATCAAAAGAATTGCGCCGCTCAGATTCAATTTATACAGCTAAGAAGCGTCACAATGTTTTAATGAGTAATTACATTTAACTTCAAATGACCCCACATTCTATTTATATGAAAATGCCACATATTCTGAATTTGATTTCTCTTTTTTCTCAAATATTTCATCCCCAATATTTCATCTGTTGATTTCATATGACACTCAATACTGATATTGCCACAAGAGCTTTTGTGATAGCTCTTAAATCACTTTATTTTGATAAGTTAAATGTTAAAATCACAGAAATCATTTAGATCTCAAAGAGTCAAATCAATTGTATATACAAATATATAATTGAATACAGATTTGATTCTGAACTGCTTTATATTATACCTTTACAATGAATGACTTCAAAATGCCCTCAAATCTGACTGATCAACTCAGAGAAATGATAGTATTAAGAATGCTATTTTTGTAAAAATTCAATATGATCAACATAAATGAGAAAAGATACATACTGATCTTGTCAATGAATTTCAGTAATAAAAGAAATTGAAATATTTTTTTATGATTATATGAAGAAGTTTTCATAACGCAGATCTGTGAAAAATAAAGTCTATATCAAAATCAGAACTCATTCAGAAAATATCACTAAATCAACTTCCCTTCTATTTGTCATATAAAGCTTAAATTTTGAAAAATTGAAAGAATGTTATTTGATTAGATGAAATCTCTGTTATTCTTCTTCATCAATAAAATGTATATCGAATATGATATGCATTTTATAAAATTTATTTTCAAAATTGTCTATATAAATGATCAAAGAGATTATCTGAGTTTATACTCTAAATCTGCTTCTC